CTCTCTTCGGCAAACGATGGTTCGGCATACGCAACACATGTCCCAACCAACGCAGCTTCTGGTGCTGGACACATTCTTGAATGGAAGTACCCGTTGCACAACCAAAAACGCGCATTCTAATCACCTGGTTACGGACTCACTGACGCAAACCCACACGAGCTAAGGTTTTGAGACAACGAATGTCTTACACCTGAAGACGTCTCACTTCCGCAGCTCGAATTATACGCGTTGCTTGAGAGTCGTGAATGATGTCGGGTCTATTCTGCTGATCCCATACTTCAATGTGATGTTCATTCGCGTTTATTTCATGGGCTTTGCAGGGTGTAGACACGTTGAAGGTTTCCCCTTTTTTCTTAGGGATATAAAGCTTCTTTATTTCAAGTTTCCACTCCGTTTTTCTTTAATCGTTGTATGAGAGTTTACCGCCAGTTTCCACTGCTTTTTTTATACGGCTTTTCGTTGTCGAACACCTGAAGACGTCTCAGTTCCGCTGCTCGAATAGGCCAAGTCTCACAGCCATACAACAAAACAGCTCGTACTGTAGCTTGGTACACGCGTCCATTCAGATTCAGAGATACACATCGAATCCTTGGATCGAAAAACGGTGCTAGACATGCCGTGACGACTACACAAATGTCTGATTTCTGATTTCTGTCCTAAAAAGCCAGTTTCGTGTTTTGGCTGCATGTCAGAGTTGCTAACATCTGAGAACGGTCAACTATGGGACCCAATTTTGGGATGCATCGGACAGCCGGACAGCCCTAGTTACCCGTCTGTTCGACAAACTGAATGGATTGTAGCACCTTTATTTCAAGAATCGTACATATATACGTTGGGAAGGGTACCGACCCCTTCCACAGACATAGGCCTCGACCCAGAGTACAACACCGCTTATCTGGTTGTGGGGAACAGGCAGCTGGAAATGCAGCTTCTAAGACGGACTTCCCTTATGGTCTGATATCGTCTTCGATTTGATCGCCATTAGACGGTGGATCCATTAAGATTTCTACCTTTGCAAGAATGCAAATCATATCCGATGGCGATTTGTTGTACTGACCAAGAGAACTCTCCGTGTGGCCATGGAAGAGCGAATTCCCCTCCACAAATTCAAATAACAGCTCTTGTAAAACAAATTTGCTGCCATAACGTTGTTTCAATGACGTTCTGAAGCAAAGGCTCCTTGTCTCAACAGATGCCTGCCTTTTTGCCGCGAAATCACGGTCTCGCTTGACTCAGTTTTCAACCGGAGCTTGGAAGATACGATGCGTGTGGAAGCTTCGGCGCACTAAGTCTGACGATATCAGCCCGGCCAACTCTCATAAAGGAGACAGCGCCGATAGTTCAGCTTCGAGGAGCACAACAACTTTTTTCCCGTCAAAACCACATTATTCCGCAGATTAGAGCACTTGAATAGTATCGTATAATGTTGGTCCAATCAGAATATGAAGTTAAGGGATCTTTGGCGGATATGCCTATCTGATGAGCCCCAAGATGTGGGAACGGATCCTAGGCTGTCGAAAAGTTTTCAGCAAATTGATGAGTTGTATATTGCACCAAGCCCAACTGTAATTTTCTCAAGATTCATCGACATTATACACCGCTGTCTTGTTTTACTCATTATTTACTCATTTATTCCTCATTATTTCATGGAGATTGATATCCAGTGGCTAGATTCATATGCACATGCACGCGCCAAAGTGGCCCTTTCTCTAAGACAACAGCTTGGAATAAGCACTTGAATGAGGAATTCGCGGTGCCTTACTTGACTAGGCTGCTCAAATCCTCCGAGAACCAAACAGTTCAGTCCTCAACTTCATAAGAAAGTGCTTACAATGCGACACAGAGGATTCGTTGCCTTTAAACATCTTAGTTTCGGAACGCGAATGTTTCGAAAAAAATTCTATGCCAAAAATTTGCTTTATTCAAAAAATGCTTCCCGATTGATTCGCTACGTTCTTTTTGAAACCCCGCGATACCATTACGGGACAATGGGGACTGATAAACACAGAATTTTCAGCATGAAGTTGTGATACAGCCCTAGATACCCGTCTGCTCTGCAAACTAGATCGATCGTGGCACCATTTTCTCAAGAATCGTACATATATACGTTGGGAAGGATATTGGTTCGTTCTACCAGCGGCATTGTAGACAGACATAGGCCTCGAACTTAGAGTACAACACCACCTATCTGGTTATAGAGAACAGGCAGCTGGAAATATGCATTCTAGGACGGATTTCCCTTTTTGTCCGATGTTGTTTACGATTTGATCACCGTTAGACGGTCGGCCCATCAAGATTTCTACCTTTGGGAGAATGCTAGCCATATCCGATGGCGATTTGTTGTACTGGCCGAAAGAACTCTCCGTATGGCGATTGAAGAGCAAATTCCCCTCCAAAAATTCAAATTACAGCGCTGGTAAAACACATTTTCTGCCATGATGCAAATCAGTGAGCTCCTGAACCGAAGACGTGTTTTCGTTACTCAAGGTATCAACAGATACCTGTCTCGTTGCCGTGGAAACCCGGTTCCACTGGTAATTCATGTGCTTAGCTCAGCTTTTGGCCGGACTTTGGAAGCTGCTGTGCGTGTGGAAGCTCCAACGCACTGGGCCCGACGGCGACAGATTGACCGACTGTCATGAAGGAGTCTGTCCTGAGCGGTTAGCCCAACTTCCAGGATCCCATCACAACCAGATTCTTGCTCACATCTTGAAGAATGTCATACAATTTGGGTTCAAGCAGAATATGAGATTTAGGGAGCCTTCGGGACTGTGCTTATCTGAGGGGCCCCAAGATGGGGTAACTGGTCATAGACTGTATAAATGTTTTCACCAAATTTATGAGTTGTATATTGCACCAAGCCCAATTATAATTTTCTAAAAATTCATCAAGATTATACACCGCTGTCTTGTTTTACTCACTTTTTCCAATGGCCTGATTCCTATGCACATGCGCGCCAAAGTAGCCCTTTTTCCAAAGCAGCCGCCTGGAATGACCACTTGAATGAGGAATTCACGTGACCTTACTTGACTAGGTCGCTTCAATCCTCCGAGTACCAAAGAGTTCAGTCCTCAATTCCATATGAAAGTGCTTCTAATGCGAGACAGAGGATTTTTTGCTTTGAAACATCAATATTTTATTATCGAAAAGCGATTGATTACACAATTTTTGTTCCGAAAAATCCGCTTTGTCTATCTATATTTCGTTTGCCGAACTCATGGTCTAGTGGCGGTTCTTCAACCCTGAATTATGAAACTCTCCCTGACTGCCTCACTGCACTACCTCTGCAACGTCGCGATACTATTACGGGACAATTAGGACTGATAAACACAGAAGTTTCAGTATAAAGATATGATATAGGTGACGAATCTCAGGCGAATGAAACTTTATATTTTCGCTACTACTCACTGGTGAAATAGTAGTCGACTGCAATTCGAAAAAAGTTTTAACATGTTTTTTATGTACCCCCATATTTGGGTACCCTTTCCCGGGGTCCGCCAAATTTTGCGACTGTTCTACTGTTGAGAACCGGTTTATAATTGATGTACTCCAGCATGGAATGGTTTTACCCCGTGCATAAATCAGAGTTTTTGCTGAAAGTAAATCCCAGCTAGGATGAACCAATAAGCATGAAGCCTATTTAGTAATTTTCTGGACCGTGCTCCTCAATAAACACGAAAGATTCCATTCACTTGTGTTCTAGACAGAAGTTTGAACGCTGAAAATCAACCGCGACTAACTTGCACTTCATAGGTCGCCGCCCTTCTCTCAGCCATTCGCGTTGCGTCGCGCTGGTTAGGTCCTCGAGTGAGGACTAATTCATCAGAGGATCCATGCTGTTCCGACTTTTTTCTAGGTCGCCGCCCTTCTCTCAGCCATTCGCTTTGCGTCGCGCTGGTTGGGTCCTCGAGTGAGGACTAATTCGTCAGAGGATCCATGCTGTTCCGAATTTTTTCTTTTTTATTCGGTCTACTTACAGCGTGAGAGTAGTGAGGAGGTTTTGAAATCTCCGTAGAAGTCATTTTGTACATTGACTTATTGCACAAAGGTCGAAAAAACTAGGCACTTGTTCCGGCCTTCTCGTTAGAGTTATCAGCGCGTACCTCATTCCCCGGAATTCCGGCTGGACTCTTAATCATTCGGTCGGGAACAGTTGATAGTTCTCCAACCACCTGCTACATGACATGTGGTTTGATGTCGGGTGACCCTTAAAGTTAACAGTTTTCAAATAAAACATTCGCTTGATCGAAAAATAATATGTTTTTCAATTTAAATCGTAATGGTCACCTTTATGAGTGCATTTCCAAACTCACTCGCTCACCCGCGGTTTGTTTCAAATTATTTAAGCAGCTCGGGAACCTCAGACGCAAGACGATGGTGCGCTGCTCTCCGATCGGGTCGACAAAATCAGCGAATTTATCAATGCGCTGAATGCAGCTGACACGAAACTCTTTGTACAACTCCAAAGCAAATCAAACAGAAGAGTGATTGCCAACGCCATCAGTCACTGCTGTCTCGCCGGTCCTGTGAATCAGGATGCCAAACAAACGGCGCTTACGGTGCGTACAATACCCACGCTGACTGGTACTCATACTTTATTGCCCGCCACGAAAATAAAGGTCCATAAATTTTTGCTGTGCGAGAAGACAACTGGATTTCTATCAAACGATAAGAGTTTTATACAACTGGGTTCAAAGCGGTTGTTTTTAAATCGAATAAGAGTCATCTTATGATATATCTAGATATAATACAGTAGCTTTTTTGTCGGTCGATTAACGTCTTATCATCGCATGTGAACAGAGATGTAGCGATGCCGTTACAGTCCCAGTCATGAAAGTTGATGTGCAGTGAATATTCTGGACGGTACAATGTGTATTAGGAGAACGAGCTCCGAACGTAACAGGGCCACATACCTGCCAATGAAATAACCGTTTTTCGTTGAAACAGATTTCATTGGTTGCTCCTCGCTCGCCCTTGAAAGATGAATTGTATTCTTAGTATCACTTTGTTGAGGTATGCGACAG